TTTTTTTTAACATGCCCTTTATCAGGTTGAAGGCATTCATTCCCTTCTATTCCTGTATTGAGTGTTTTTATCATGAAACCATGTTGGATTTTATCAAATGCTTATTTTACATCTACTGAGGTGATTATGTAGTGTATTATAGCAGTTGATTTATGTATGGCAAACCAATCTTGTTGTTCCTGTGATAAATGCCACTTGGTCATGGTGTATAATCCTTTTTATATGTTGCTGGATTCTGTTTGCAAGTATAGGGATATTGGTCTGTAGTCCCCCTCTGCCTCTTGTTTGGTTTTGGTATAAGGGTGATATTGGCCCCATAAAATGAGTTGGGAAGTTTTTTTCTTTACTGTATTTTGGAATGTTTTGGAAGGGTTGGTTTTAGTTCTTTAAATATTTGGTAGAATTCATTAATGAAGACATTACCCGAACCCGAAAAGAAACACCCTTCAACTAATGATTAAGTTAGTCCTTCTTGGTTATAGGTCTATTTAGATTTTCTGTTTCTTCTTGATTCAGTTTCAGTTATTTGCATCTAGAAATTTCATCATTTCTTCTACATTATCTGATTTGTTGGCATACAATTTTTCATAGCATTTCTTCATAATCTTTTTATTTCTATAAGGTTGGTAGTATTGTCTTTTCCTTCATTCCTGATTTGGAAATATGAGTCTTCTATTTTATCCTTGGTCAGTGTAGCTAAAGTTTTATCAATCTAGTTGATCTTTTCAAGAAAAGATAACTTATTTATTTCTACTCTAATCTTTATTATTTGTTTCTTTCTGTTTACTTTGGATTTAGTTTACTCTTACGTTTCTAGTTTCTCTGCACCACGCTCAGCCAGTGAGCAACCGGCCATCCCTATAGAGGATCCAAACCCATGGCCTTGGTGTTATCAGCACTGCACTCTCCCGAGTGAGCCACGGGCCAGCCCTCTTACGTTTCTAGTTTCTTAAGGTGAAAGGTTGAGTTGTTGATTTGAAATCTTTGATATTGGCCCCATAAAATGAGTTGGGAAGTTTTTTTCTTTACTGTATTTTGGAATGTTTTGGAAGGGTTGGTTTTAGTTCTTTAAATATTTGGTAGAATTCATTAATGAAGACATTTGGGCTTGGGCTTTTCTTTGTGGGAAGTTGATTACTAATTCAATCTCCTTCTTGGTTATAGATCTATTTAGATTTTCTGTTTCTTCTTGATTCAGTTTCAGTCATTTGCATCTAGAAATTTCATCATTTCTTCTACATTATCTGATTTGTTGGCATACAATTTTTCATAGCATTTCTTCATAATCTTTTTATTTCTATAAGGTTGGTAGTGTTGTCTTTTCCTTCATTTCTGATTTGGAAATATGAGTCTTCTATTTTATCCTTGGTCAGTGTAGCTAAAGTTTTATCAATCTAGTTGATCTTTTCAAGAAAAGATAACATTTATTTCTACTCTAATATTTATTATTTGTTTCTTTCTGTTTACTTTGGATTTAGTTTACTCTTACGTTTCTAGTTTCTCAGCACCACGCTCAGCCAGTGAGCAACCGGCCATCCCTATAGAGGATCCAAACCCATGGCCTTGGTGTTATCAGCACTGCACTCTCCCGAGTGAGCCACGGGCCAGCCCTCTTACGTTTCTAGTTTCTTAAGGTGAAAGGTTGAGTTGTTGATTTGAAATCTTTCTTCTTTTTTAATATATGTGCTTACAGCTAATAAATTTCTCTCTGAGCACTGCTTTAGCTGTATTCAATAAGTTTTTTATGCTATGTTTTTGTTTTTATTTACCTAAGCATTTTCTTGGGTCCCATTGTATTTCTTCTTTCACCTATTTGTTATTTAAGAGTATGCTGTTTAATTTCCACATATTTGTGAATTTTCCAAATTTCTTTCTGTTATTGCTTTCTAATTTTACTCATTGTTGTTGGAGAACACACTCTGTATGTTCTGTCTTTTATATCTGTCACTCTATTGATATTCCCTATTTAGTAAGTCATTGTTCTCATACTTTCTTTTAATTCTTTATACATGGTTTCCTTTAGTTCCTTGAACATATTTATAATAGCTAATATAAAGTCTTTTGTCTAGTAAGTTCTGTATCTGGGCTTCCTTGGGAATAGATTTTTTTTTTTTTTTTTTTTTTTTTTTTTTTTTTTTTAGGTGGCTGGTTGGTGTAGGGATGGAACCTTTGACCTTGGTGTTATCAGCACCAGACTCTAACCCACTGAGCTAACTGGCCAGCCCAGGAACAGATTCTATTGCTTGGTTTTCCCCCTATGTATGGGTCATATTTTCCTGTGTCTTTGTGTATCTTATATATTTTTTGAAAATAGTACACTTAAAATAATATAAGGTGGCAACTCTAGAAATCAGATTCTTCTCCCCCATCCCTGGGTTTCTTGTTTTTTCTGTTTGTTTATTTATTTCTGTGGTTGCTGTTTGTTTGTTTAGTAACTTTCTGGGCTAATTCTATAAAGTCTGTATCATTTGTGTACGCAGCTACTGAAGTCTCTGCTGAGTCAACTTAGCCTCTGCTCAGACAGCTAATGAGTGAACAGAATTTCTTAAATTTTTTGAATGAATAAGTCTCTTGGCCTTTTCGAGGGGCTCTGTGTGTGTGTTGGGGCATGTGTTTAATGCTACTTCAGGCAGTTCGCAACTCTGCCTTAGTTCACAACTTTCTGCTTGAGAAGAACCTCAAGGTTGGTCAGAGGAAGAGACTAGGGCCTTTTCAAGTCCTTATTGGGCATTTGTAGAGCCCTGCACATGAACATGGCCTTGTAGGTTCCAAGGAGTATTTGGGAGCTTTAAAAATCTCTCTATGGATACCTCCTTCCCCATTTATTCTTTTAAGTGTTTTTTGATTAGACTTTTGTTAGCACCAACTGGTATTGCTACCTCTAGTAGCTGTGATGTTAAATAATTGCTGCTGATTGTTTTCAACAAATGCCTTAAAGGATAGGGCTGTTCTCATAGAGCAAGCTCTTAGTGCAGTCAAATAAAGAGAAGGCCTGGGGACGGAGCTTTTCACAGAGCTTCCTGACAGTTTTCTGAAGATGGGACTTTTAGGGAGCTCTAAATCTGTTCTGTCTCCACTGTCTGCAGTGGCTGCTAGGCTGATGGCTTTCACAGCTATCCTAGTTGTGTACATTTGTTGGTTTTTAAGGCAACTGCATAGCTGGGGCAAGGGGGATAGAAATAGGGCAAGTTAAAAACACCACAAAACTTACTGTTTTTACTAATAATCAGCAATTTTTCTTGAATAAATACTCCTTGGAATGTTGCAAGCCTTTTTTAATTTCCAGAGTTCTGAAAAAGTTGATTTTGAAAATTTCCACCAATGGTTTAGTTGCTTTTATGGAGGAAGAGATTTTTGGAGGTCCTTCCTTTGCTGTTCCAGGAGTGCTTCCTATCAAATTATTATTATTATTATTATTTTTTAAAAAGATGACCGGTAAGGGGATCTTAACCCTTGACTTGGTGTTGTCAGCACCACGCTCAGCCAGTGAGCGAACCGGCCATCCCTATATGGGATCCGAACCCGGGGCCTTGGTGTTATCAGCACCACACTCTCCCGAGTGAGCCACGGGCCGGCCCCCTATCAAATTATTTTAAGAGCACTTTTAAAAATGGATGGGGACAAGACATAAAAAAGTAATATTTTGTAAAACTAATGACCTGAGGGAACTTTGAGGAAAGGCAAGCCAATTATTATTTTTTATTTTTTATTTATTTATTTTTAAAAGATGACCGGTAAGGGGATCTTAACCCTTGACTTGGTGTTGTCAGCACCAGGCTCACCCAATGAGCCAACCGGCCATCCCTATATGGGATCCGAAGCCGGGGCCTTGGTGTTATCAGCACCACACTCTCCCAAGTGAGCCACAGGCCGGCCCCCAATTATTATTTTTTATACAAGTTGTCTTATTTACATAGTTTATAAATTTACAAATTACATAATATGTATATGTTTTTTAATACGAATTATTGTATTATCCAAATAAAAAATTTTGACATAAAATACAAACAAGATTGTATTCCAAATGGTATTCTCTTTTGAAGTTTGGATACCTTGAGGGTTTGTACTAAATAGAAAGATGAGAAATGTTCACTGCTCTGTTCTCTTTTGTTTTCTTTTTTACTTTGCTATTTCAGGTGTACAGAGCCAACGGGCCAGATGGGGCCATTGGCAGAGGCCAGAGAATCCACCTGCAGTTATGGGACACAGCAGGGCAAGAGAGGTCTGAGATCTTCAGTTATGTGTTTCTTACTGAGAGGAAAGGGAAAAACAGCTATTCTCATCACACAGTGGTCTGAGTAGGAAAAAGCCAGCTGATTACTTGATTTGCACCTGGATAAGACATGCTGGCAAATTAGCAGGAAATTTATCAATCTGAGTCGATAATGGTGGCTTTATTTCATACAAGGCCAAAAGAAAAATGAATCCTTTTTGAAATGGACTTTCTTACTTGTGGACTTTTTTCTTCTTTTTTCATACTAGTACACTTTTCTCCATTTTCTCCATTTACTTTGCTATTTATTCAACCACAAGAAAGCTGCAAAGTTACATACATTAGTCTTAACTGATTGTTAGAACCTAGTAAAAAAATCTGGTTGAATTAATTCATATGGCCAGAGGTTACTTGACCAAAATAAGCCACAGGAAATCTTGATATAAAGATTTTTTAAGTTACTTACAGCCTCTGTTTTCTCTCACAGCTACCTTGAAGGATTTTGCTTTTAACTTTTTTTTTTTTTCTTTTTTGTCTTTTTTACTGACCGGTAACAGGATCGCAACCCTCAGTGTTGCGCCTGTACAGGGAACCGGCAATGGGATCGCAACCCTTGGTGTTGCACCCGCACGCGCTCAGCCAGTGCGCGGGAACCGGTCTCCACATGGGATCCAAACCCTCGGCGGGAGTGCCGCCACGCTCCCAAGCGGCGCACTCTCCAGTGCGCCACTGGGCCGGCCCAACTTTTAACTTTTTATTATGGAAAACTTCAAGCATATTCAAAAATAGAGAGGATAGTATAATGAATCCATGTACCCGTTACTCAGTTTCAACAATTAGCAAGTTGTGGTCAATCTTATTTCATGTATGTCCTTATCACTTCTCAGCCCTCTTCATTATTATTTGAAAGCAAATTCCAGACTTTATATTTCATTTGTAACTGTTTTGGTATGCATCTGTAAAAGATAAAGACTCTTTTTGTAAAAACATTTATCACAAATATTTGAGAAAAAGCTAATATTGCTGATTAGATGACAAATTCATACCAATATTTTCTTCTCTGGAGCCTGTCTATATTTATATTTCATTTGTAACTGTTTTGGTATGCATCTGTAAAAGATAAAGACTCTTTTTGTAAAAACATTTATCACAAATATTTGAGAAAAACCTAATATTGCTGATTAGATGACAAATTCATACCAATATTTTCTTCTCTGGAGCCTGTCTATAGTCACAGACTTTGTGTATAGGCAATGTGAGAAGAAACTGTCAGAGAGAGAGAGAGAGAGAGAGAGAGAGAGGAGACAGTAGAATAAAGCCTTGGAAGGCAGAGTATTAAGAAAGAATAGGGTCTGAGTACTGTTCCCATCTTAAAGCCAAAGAAATGGTTATCAGTGATAAGAGATTTCTGTAGAGACTGAAATTAAAAGATCATGGAACACATTGTAATGTCAAGTCAAGTTTCACAGAAGGAAAACATACACAGTAAGCACCATTGCTTCTGACCTAATTAACTCAATGTACAATAAATTCTTGGCTGAGACTAAGATCACGAGTTAGTTCTTATCCATGTTCAGCAGGCGGGGTTGTCAAATTACATGGTCTGTTAACACATAAACTTATGTAAGTGATAAATAATTTTGGAATATCGTCATATATTTTGTTATTATTAAGAAAGCTGAAGGCATTGCTGGTAGCTTTATATTTCAGGAGTGGGGCCATGGTTTAGGTGACTGATCTGCTTTTACATTCCTAGGTTTCGTAGCTTGACAACAGCGTTCTTCAGAGATGCGATGGGTTTTCTTCTACTTTTTGATTTGACAAATGAGCAAAGTTTCCTCAATGTCAGGAACTGGATAAGTAAGTGTTATTGTTTCCCTGCCCCTAATCCCCACTCCCAGAAACAGATTGCCCTTATGTTCTACTGCTGTTATGAGTTGTTTTTGGAGGAGTTCCTAGTTCACATGCTGTCTAAAGGAGCAAGGTTTTTTACTTCGGGGCAAAGATAACTGAAATATTCTGCTTTTCCTAGTAACGTTAACTTTGATTTGTTGACTGCTTCCCATGCTCCAGATACAAGGCAGCACTTTACATGTAATCTCCTAATAAGTCTATTCAACAGAGGGGACTCTTGTCCCCATTTTATAGATGAGAAAATAGAAGCCTAGAGAAGTTAAATCTTTAAGTATCTGATTAGAGTCCTGCTTAGTTTTTAACACCTGGCAAAAAATGACCTTTGTGAAATTTTCTGTGATAACTTTAGTTGGATTAGATTTTTTCCTGTCCTCTTAACTCCTGTTACATTTTGCACCATTTAAAAGATCTTTATCACGTACCATCTTATTCTATAGTTATATACATATAAGCTCTTTTCCTTAGTGAGATTTTACAAATAACTAATTTACTTTTTATGTAAGTAATTCACAATCTTTGTAGAAAATCACCAATATCACACCCCCTAGACTTCCCAAAATAAACATTATTAACCATCATTACTGGTAATACTTTCATAGCTCTTATAAATGCTTCAATATATGCAGTTAGTGGTTCTCGGATGTGATAGTTTATCTGAATCACCTGGAGGGCTTGTTAAAGCACAGATCACTGGCCCCACCCCCAGCATTCCTAATTCAGCAGGTCAAGTTCTCAGGTGATGCTAAGACTGCTGGTCCACAGACCTTACTTGGAGAATCACTGAATTAACTCATTTAATTCTCACCTTGACCCTATGAAGTAAGTGCTGTCATTATCACTATTTACAGATAGGAAAACTTAGGTGGTCAAATAACTTCCTCAGGGTCACACAACTAGTAAATGGCAGAGCCATGGTTCAACCCTAGGCATACTGGGTCTTAAGTCCGTGCTCGCAGCCACAACGTTGAACATACATATAAGGTGTTAACAGAGCACAGAGCCACTCTGGAGACCAGAAACTTTTCATGTTAGAGGTAACCACAAAGCAAGTTTTGAAGGAAGGTTGTGGTTGGGTATTCAAGAGTGTGGGAACAACACGTGTAACAACTGACAGGAAAGAAAGGACATAGCTTCTACTGGAAATGGTTCATGGTTTCGTCTTGCCTATGGAGGGCTTGTTACCCAAGTTGCCCCTTGCGGTCAAAGGACAGTGTCCCAAAACTCCATGCAATGTATCAGACATGTGTTAATACTCAGGAAATGCTCACCAACTTGACTTTCTCTTGATAAGCTATGATGAAGACAATTTCATAATGAGGAACTAAAATGTCAATACTTTTCTGGTTAACTAATAAAAAATAAATTAGGCCATAAACTTTGAAGTCTTACTGTGAAAGTTTAGGTTGCTTTAATTTCATTCTGGGGTGCAATGAGTAACAAATATGAGGATTTTTTTTTTCAGTAGTTAAACTATTTAGCTTAGTTAAAGCTCTTTTGGTTTGATTAAATTGCTTTTTATAATTATGACAATTTACAGGCTTTCAGGTGAAAAGAAATAAAAGCTGTAGAGTAAGAATTTTAGTCTCTCTTAGTTCTGGTGATAGAATCATTTACTATTTATTCTGGGTCTTTTCTCCTCATTAAATCCTATATCTCATTTGTTTTAAATGAGTTGATTCTGCCCTTGGATAATAGAAAAATGTGAAAAATATTTTAGATAGAAATAGGTTAGTTGATAGGAAGACAATTCTTTTAAAAATGTCATTGCTAAGGAGAGAGTATGTATGAAAAATGAGAGAATATATATNTACTGACCGGTAATGGGATCGCAACCCTCGGTGTTGCGCCTGTACAGGGAACCGGCAATGGGATCGCAACCCTTGGTGTTGCACCCGCACGCGCTCAGCCAGTGAGCGGGAACCGGTCTCCACATGGGATCCAAACCCTCGGCGGGAGTGCCGCCACGCTCCCAAGCGGCGCACTCTCCAGTGCGCCACTGGGCCGGCCCAACTTTTAACTTTTTATTATGGAAAACTTCAAGCATATTCAAAAATAGAGAGGATAGTATAATGAATCCATGTACCCGTTACTCAGTTTCAACAATTAGCAAGTTGTGGTCAATCTTATTTCATGTATGTCCTTATCACTTCTCAGCCCTCTTCATTATTATTTGAAAGCAAATTCCAGACTTTATATTTCATTTGTAACTGTTTTGGTATGCATCTGTAAAAGATAAAGACTCTTTTTGTAAAAACATTTATCACAAATATTTGAGAAAAAGCTAATATTGCTGATTAGATGACAAATTCATACCAATATTTTCTTCTCTGGAGCCTGTCTATAGTCACAGACTTTGTGTATAGGCAATGTGAGAAGAAACTGTCAGAGAGAGAGAGAGAGAGAGAGAGAGAGAGGAGACAGTAGAATAAAGCCTTGGAAGGCAGAGTATTAAGAAAGAATAGGGTCTGAGTACTGTTCCCATCTTAAAGCCAAAGAAATGGTTATCAGTGATAAGAGATTTCTGTAGAGACTGAAATTAAAAGATCATGGAACACATTGTAATGTCAAGTCAAGTTTCACAGAAGGAAAACATACACAGTAAGCACCATTGCTTCTGACCTAATTAACTCAATGTACAATAAATTCTTGGCTGAGACTAAGATCACGAGTTAGTTCTTATCCATGTTCAGCAGGCGGGGTTGTCAAATTACATGGTCTGTTAACACATAAACTTATGTAAGTGATAAATAATTTTGGAATATCGTCATATATTTTGTTATTATTAAGAAAGCTGAAGGCATTGCTGGTAGCTTTATATTTCAGGAGTGGGGCCATGGTTTAGGTGACTGATCTGCTTTTACATTCCTAGGTTTCGTAGCTTGACAACAGCGTTCTTCAGAGATGCGATGGGTTTTCTTCTACTTTTTGATTTGACAAATGAGCAAAGTTTCCTCAATGTCAGGAACTGGATAAGTAAGTGTTATTGTTTCCCTGCCCCTAATCCCCACTCCCAGAAACAGATTGCCCTTATGTTCTACTGCTGTTATGAGTTGTTTTTGGAGGAGTTCCTAGTTCACATGCTGTCTAAAGGAGCAAGGTTTTTTACTTCGGGGCAAAGATAACTGAAATATTCTGCTTTTCCTAGTAACGTTAACTTTGATTTGTTGACTGCTTCCCATGCTCCAGATACAAGGCAGCACTTTACATGTAATCTCCTAATAAGTCTATTCAACAGAGGGGACTCTTGTCCCCATTTTATAGATGAGAAAATAGAAGCCTAGAGAAGTTAAATCTTTAAGTATCTGATTAGAGTCCTGCTTAGTTTTTAACACCTGGCAAAAAATGACCTTTGTGAAATTTTCTGTGATAACTTTAGTTGGATTAGATTTTTTCCTGTCCTCTTAACTCCTGTTACATTTTGCACCATTTAAAAGATCTTTATCACGTACCATCTTATTCTATAGTTATATACATATAAGCTCTTTTCCTTAGTGAGATTTTACAAATAACTAATTTACTTTTTATGTAAGTAATTCACAATCTTTGTAGAAAATCACCAATATCACACCCCCTAGACTTCCCAAAATAAACATTATTAACCATCATTACTGGTAATACTTTCATAGCTCTTATAAATGCTTCAATATATGCAGTTAGTGGTTCTCGGATGTGATAGTTTATCTGAATCACCTGGAGGGCTTGTTAAAGCACAGATCACTGGCCCCACCCCCAGCATTCCTAATTCAGCAGGTCAAGTTCTCAGGTGATGCTAAGACTGCTGGTCCACAGACCTTACTTGGAGAATCACTGAATTAACTCATTTAATTCTCACCTTGACCCTATGAAGTAAGTGCTGTCATTATCACTATTTACAGATAGGAAAACTTAGGTGGTCAAATAACTTCCTCAGGGTCACACAACTAGTAAATGGCAGAGCCATGGTTCAACCCTAGGCATACTGGGTCTTAAGTCCGTGCTCGCAGCCACAACGTTGAACATACATATAAGGTGTTAACAGAGCACAGAGCCACTCTGGAGACCAGAAACTTTTCATGTTAGAGGTAACCACAAAGCAAGTTTTGAAGGAAGGTTGTGGTTGGGTATTCAAGAGTGTGGGAACAACACGTGTAACAACTGACAGGAAAGAAAGGACATAGCTTCTACTGGAAATGGTTCATGGTTTCGTCTTGCCTATGGAGGGCTTGTTACCCAAGTTGCCCCTTGCGGTCAAAGGACAGTGTCCCAAAACTCCATGCAATGTATCAGACATGTGTTAATACTCAGGAAATGCTCACCAACTTGACTTTCTCTTGATAAGCTATGATGAAGACAATTTCATAATGAGGAACTAAAATGTCAATACTTTTCTGGTTAACTAATAAAAAATAAATTAGGCCATAAACTTTGAAGTCTTACTGTGAAAGTTTAGGTTGCTTTAATTTCATTCTGGGGTGCAATGAGTAACAAATATGAGGATTTTTTTTTTCAGTAGTTAAACTATTTAGCTTAGTTAAAGCTCTTTTGGTTTGATTAAATTGCTTTTTATAATTATGACAATTTACAGGCTTTCAGGTGAAAAGAAATAAAAGCTGTAGAGTAAGAATTTTAGTCTCTCTTAGTTCTGGTGATAGAATCATTTACTATTTATTCTGGGTCTTTTCTCATTAAATCCTATATCTCATTTGTTTTAAATGAGTTGATTCTGCCCTTGGATAATAGAAAAATGTGAAAAATATTTTAGATAGAAATAGGTTAGTTGATAGGAAGACAATTCTTTTAAAAATGTCATTGCTAAGGAGAGAGTATGTATGAAAAATGAGAGAATATATATGAAAAACAGAGCTTTAAGAGTAGCAGTAAAGGGCTGGCTGGTTAGCTCAGGTGGTTAGAGCAGAGCCTTGCAATGCCAAAGTCAAGGGTTCAGATTCTCGTGTTGGCCAGCTGCCAAAAGAAATAAGTAATTAGGAAATCCTTCAAGTTTCTTTTCAAATGAAGGACAGTCAGGTATTTCGTGTGTTGGGGAGCACTCACACTTTTGAGGGTTACTACATTCTCCCGTCACTCTGTGATATTAATAAACTTGGGTAAGTGCTTAAGGACAGGAGTAGTTTTACGTTTCTTCCCCATTCATTGTTTTACAGATTGGATTATTGATGCTTTGAAAGCATTATATCGTTTCCTTATATTGTGTTTACATTTACAGTTTTCAAAGCACTTTTGTATGTATTCTCCATTGATCATACAGTTTTTTATTGTATGATCTATTTACATATAATAAACTTTCTTATATTAATAGGCCAGCTACAAATGCATGCATATTGTGAAAACCCAGATATAGTGTTATGTGGAAATAAGAGTGATCTGGAAGACCAGAGAGTAGTAAAAGAGGAGGAAGCCAGAGGACTTGCAGAGAAATATGGGTGAGTATTTCTGTGGAGAAATCTAAAGAACACATTTTCAATATAAACATTAGCACATGAATGAGTAATAAAAAAGACAAATGTGAAAAATTTTTAAAAAACTGAGCTGCGGGCCTTGGGAGGTGTCAAATGATCTACTTTTCATATTAATAGTATGTGATAGTGGGAGCCATAGAAAAAGCATGGGCTGAGGGCATCCTTCAGTGCTCTGGATCTATTTTCTCAATTGCTTGGCATTTGCAGAAAGGCAGCTATACATGCAAATGTGCTAACTGTGTAAAGCCTTCTTTCCAAGATGCAAACAGGACACTTCTGGGATAAGGAAATCCTTTATGTTCAGCAAGGACCATTCAAAGCCAGTTCATACACTGTCGTAGAGGGCTCTAGCATACAAGAAGGCCTTATTGGGTATTGCAGACCAGGTGCTGGTTTTGAAATTTCTGTGATGGGAGAGGAGTGTGAAGATCCCCCTTGGTTTAGGCTATGTTTTTGTGGTAGAGGGTCAGCAGGATACTGTCTTTCTCCTTGAGTTCTAGGAATAGGATTATAGTAGAAGCAGCGTGAATTGGACATGAAAGGAGTCAGCTGCTGCTTTTTAAAGTATTAAAGTGTCAAGGGCACTTATACAAATGAATTTGTACTTTACTTTTTACCTCTAATACAATGAGAACTCAAATGTAAGTTCAAACCCTTACTATTAAAAGTGGACAGCAGCAAGCAGGGTTGAGAAGGGAGGAGAGGGGGATAGAGATGGTGTGGTATGATAGGAAATAACCCAGCTTGTGGCCTTGGTGGTTAGGCAGACTCCAAGGACACCAGGGGAGGGCTTTTCCCTTTTCATTGTGTGACCACTGCTTTGTTCTTCCTTGGGTTGATGGAGGTTCAGAAACACTCAAGGATGGTGTTTTCACTGGGAAGGGAGTGGAGGGATAAGTTGGCCAGGTGGGAAGAAGCCAGACTCTGAAGAACTTTGAATACCAGCTAAGGAGATTAGATTCGATTCCTGGGTGACAGGGAGTTGCTGAAAGCCTTTGAGCATGGAGGGATGTCATGCATACTTTTCAAGATCAGTCTGGGGGCTATAGGTGGGGAAAAATAGAGGGAGGAAAGACTACATACAGGGAGATAGAAGTGATGTGTGAGGTGGTGAGAGGCTGGATTTGTGGAAAAGAAAAAGGAAGAGTAAATCAGAGAAAACACATAGGGTGGGGCAGAACAGAACTTTACATCTTTCTCAATTCTAGCTCACCGGGGGATTCCTTTCAACCACACTGGCTTATTCTGGCAAGGATTTGCAACTGGATATGAAGGTTTTCACTCTGGGGTAGATGGTGTTTAACCATGTTAGAATCACCTGGGCAGCTTTCAACACCTACTCACGTCTGGGCCTCATTTCCGAGCTTCTGACATAATTGGCCTGGAGGATTTTATCAGGCAGGGTTTGACTGGAGAAGTATACCTATATATGAAATTGATCTGTTACAGGGATTTGACCATATGCAATTGTGCGAGTGGGCCAAGCAGTCTCTGCAAGTTGTTGTCTGTGTCTGAAGCTTGAAGTCCACACGACAGGCAGTCAGGAAGAGAAAATGGATGT